AAAACTTAAAAGTCTACGAACTATTATGGCAATATGTATTGATAAACAAAAATATTAGTAGTTTATTAAAGGATATCTTCGTTTTTTTTTACTTTTGAAAATATATCAACTGCATCATCTATAAATCAATTTTACCTGATTCATCACTTATCGCCTATACGATATATTATATCTACAAATTAATATTATTTTAAATTATAATATTTATTTTTTTTATTGCTTGCTTACTATTTCAAGTTTCGTATTTTTATTAAACATACCTACCAGAAATTGTTTTCGATTCTTGGGTGGTTTGCGGTAATTTTATATTTTTAGCCGCACCACCCATTTAATTTTTTAGATTCTGAGCGGAGCGATGAATGTATTGGTTTTACAATGATGTATGTTTTTATATTTTTATATTTTTGTGTCTGTCATCACGTTTTAGGACAGTAAAAGTGCTTGGATTTTCTTCATCAGTAGCTTTTCTGATAGGAAAGTGAATCTAGTTGGTACTTTGGGGAGTCAAAAGTATAAATTTCCCAGTAGTTTTCACAAGCGCCGGGAAAAACAACATAAAAATTAAGGAAAAACGGGAATTTTTACGCAAAATTGGTTTTCCAAAAAATCGATTTTGGTTATTGGTGTTACTCTAAAACAAATGAACGTATATACATGAAATTTTCACTGGTTGTTTATAATTGCATTTTCTATACACGATAACATTTTCAAAATATTTTGATTTATTTTGAACTGTTTAGGGACATTTCCATTTTCCATTTTTTTTTAGTTTTTTTTCTAAAAATATCAATAAAATTTTATTTGTTGGTTGCGAAAGCTTGAAAATTTAATAGAAGGCTCCTAATATGTTGTTTCAAAGGCAGATGAAAAATATTAAAAATCCTTAGTCACAATTTTTTTTTATAAGCATTTAAAGTTCAAAAATTGACAAAATATGGAAAAATCACGAAAATTAGCAAATTATTTTGAGTTAAGAATTCATAAAAATTTTTCTTTTTAAATCTAAGATTTGAAAATGAAACACAAGATTCCTTATAAGATTATCTACCTTTATCAATAAAAAAATCTCTACCGGACAGTCAAGTTAAATTTTTATGAGCGTTTGAAATTCAAATTTTTACAACATTGGATATTCACTCGATTACTCATGTAGCGATTTCTTTATTAACTTTACAGCTTTCAATTTTTTTAGTTTTTTTTTCTATAAATATCAATAAAGTTTTATCTGTTGGGCCAAAAAGTGTAAAAATTTAATACAAGGCTCCTGATATATTGTTACAATATCAGTTGAAAAATATTAAAAATACATAGGCACGATTTTTTTTTATAAGCATTTAAAGTTGGAATTTTGACAAAATTTATCAAAATCTCGAAAATTATCAATCGTTTTAATTAAAAAATTATAAAATGTTCAGTTTTTATAACTAAGAGTTGAAAATTTAAAACAAAGATTCTCTTAAATAATTCATACTGTAACCAAAAAATCTAAAAAATATATAAACACACTTATTTTTTACAGACATTTGAATTTCAAATTTAGACAAAATTTCATATTTAAACCAAGAATTACGATTTTAGTTATTTTGAAACTTCCAAAGTGTACTATTATATATCTATGATAGTATCACGGTTTTTGTTGATGTATAACGCGTTATAAGTATCTAATGGATATTGTGATATGATTAGTTTGGAATTTATTATAGGTACCTATTATAGGCAGGGCTTGAAACCGATTTTCGATACCGGTTTTGAATACCGGTTTAAACCGTTAAAAACCGAAACCGAAATCGAAACCGAAACCGAAATCGGAAAAAAATAATACCGGTATCCAAAACCGAAACCGAAATCGGAAAAAATCGATACCGGTATCTGAAACCGAAACCGAAATCGGAAAAAATAAATACCGGTATCCGAAACCGAAACCGAAATCGGAAAACATAAATACCGATATCCAAAACCGAAACCGAAATCGGAAAACATAAATACCGATATCTGAAACCAAAATCGAAATCGGAAAAAATAATACCGTTTTTTGAAACTTAAGACGAAATCTTAAGAAATAACAAGATATCCGAAACGGAAGTCGAAAAATTATAACATTTAAAAAGTTCTACGCATTTAAAATAAACCTATAGACTATAATTGAATTTCTGTTTAAAAGCTATGAATAATATAATTTATAATGCATATGGTAGAAAATAATAAATATCGTGTATATTATATAAATTTGTTCTATCCTTCTATCATACAATGTGATCAATATTAAATATAATATTATAACTTATAAGTTATAATTATTTATTATAACATCATGTGGATGATGGCAAAGCTGGGCAAGTTAACCAATTTTTTTAACTAGTTAAAGTTAAGTTATCCTTAAATAAAAAATAACTATGCTAAGTTAAAGTTCATTAGTCTTTTATAAATTATCATATTAAATTATTAATAATATACTGTATTAATACGTCTGGGGTAATTGTTTACTCCGTGCGCAAAACGAAGAATTAAATTAAATTACATTTTTTTTACATGGAGTTGACATAGTATTTTTGTTGGTATATTATTAGTTTTTATAAATTATCATATAAATATTATATATTATTATTTATTTTAATAGTTTATAATATTTATATTGCCGTTTCCATGGCGCGTTTATAATAATATTATTAAAAATTATTAATTTGGTCCATTTATTAGACCTGTAGCCTAGGTCATGTGCTATGCCTTCTTTTTTTTTACTTAGTTTTACTTAGTTTTTTACTGGATTCTAAAATATTAACTCGAAAGTACCTACCTAATTAGATATTTATATTATTATGTATGCTTTCTGAGTTCTGCAGTAATACAATTGATATTAATAATGATTAATGGTGCCTAAATATTATATTATTATAATTAATATTTTATAATATAATAATATATTATTATGTAAGTAGGTCTAGCTGCACTGGTGCAGTAGTCTTCGTCTGCGGGCACCCGTATGTTTGCATAGGTAATTGCACAGGGTATATAAATTATTAGACGCATAATATAATATTATTATTATACGCAATATAATAATTATTATATTTATATATTATATATTATTTTGGTAAATGGATTAATCGTATAGTCGTATTCTAAAACAGTATACTCAGAAATACGCTATAATAAAAATTGTATAACAATAATACTATTATTATTTACTATATTATAAGCTGTCGTGTTTTTCTACCGCCACAGACGATCAGAAGACAGAAATAACTATGTGGCATAATTTTCCTACATTAAATTAACACAATAGCCAACAATAAATTATGAAATACTGAGTCAATAATTATAGTATAGTTATAAATAATTTATATTATTTATAATTTATTATAATACATTATAAGGCCTTAACATAATATTGTCTGGGTTTCCCTAAAAGCCGTCGACTGAAAAATGTGCTCCCTACCAACCCACCATCAACCATACTCTATTGGATTAATATACCTAATCTAGATTGGTATAATATAATCAAGCTGTGATCAAATTGATTAATGTGGTGGGTGGGACACACATGAAGTTAGCCCCTCATTGAGAAAATAGTTTAAACTTATAAACGATGAAGTTACACAAACTCTTAAAAAATTAGGTCGCAAATCATTTTAAAAATGTGTTATGAAGTGGAGAGGCTATAACTAAATACGTCATAATTACGTATTCATTCCAGTGTAAATATTATCATTGATTTCAAATACTATAGTACTTGTCAGGCAACCAGACGCTAAATCGTACGCCACGCAATGTTTGGCGATTGGCAAGTAGGTTCCTACGCCAGTATTTTATGTCATTATAAATTATTATAAATACAGGGATTAAAATCGATATTCGATACTGATTTTGAATACCGGTTAAAACCGTTAAAAACCGAAATCGAAACGGAAAAATTGAATACCGGTATCCGAAACCAAAACCGAAACCGAAATCGGAAAAAATCGATACCGGTATCCGAAACCGAAACCGAAATCGAAAAAAGTCAATACCGGTATCCGAAACCGAAACCGAAATCGGAAAAAATCGATACCGGTATCCGAAACCGAAACCGAAATCGGAAAAAATTGATACCGGTATCCGAAACCGAAACCGAAATCGGAAAAAATTGATACCGGTATCCGAAACCGAAACCGAAATCGGAAAAAATCAAAACCGGTATCCGAAACCGAAACCGAAACCGGAAAAATTTTTTTCGGTTTCAAGCCCTGATTATAGGTCAATTTTTTGTTTAATACCTACCATAGATATGTATATAAAATGTCTTATACATAGACTGACATACCGTCACCGCTCAGAATCGTTTTTCTTATACAATGATATTATATCATTGAATTCAAATTTAATACCATCCATTATACAGTGACCCACTTGTAACCTACTGTACAGCAGAGCGACACCCACTTGCCCACCTTTTTTTTAGTCATATTTTGCTCAAATTGAAAGATTAATGTAAACACACTTCACGAAAAAAATTAATTTTAATTTAGGTAGGATAAGGTACACCTTACCCAACTAAATTAACACAATACGCAGAAAAGTTGAATAGTTTACCATACACGACTGGAGCAACTCGTAAGTTAACTGAAGTCTGGGATCAATGGACAATGATAATTAATAAATGTGCCAATCGGTTGTTGTTTTTAGAATTTGTAGGTATTCATTTTAGATTTTAGAAATAAAAACTATACGGGATTACGATAATAATTATTATTAATGTGTTACACTCACACAAACAAACATACCTAAATACATACCTACATACAATGTGTACGTCCCCGCATACGTCTAAATATAAATATTTTCCAACTATCAATTATTAGTAAAAATGTATCATTGTGACAATCATTTCTTAGTACATAGTATAATATTTTCTGAAAATATTATAAAATAGGCATGTTTTGTGCGCTAATAATATATAATAATGGTAAAACGGTAACTGGGCACCGGCCCATAGAACCACTTTTAAAATCAGACAGGGGCAAATGCACACCTTGCCCCCCCCCCCAAATGACGCCACTGAATTAGGCTTTCAAGATTTTGTAAATTTGCAATTATTGGCAACGACGTTAGTAAAAAATAAAAACTATTATTTGAGTAATGAAAAATTGAATTGGCTTAAAGTGAAAAGTTTTGAGTTTAGAAAAGATAGTCCTTTTATAGTTGGTTACAAATACGACTATTTTGATGAGTATAAATATATTGATGTAAGAAGTACAAAAGGCAGTAGGAGAAGTGGAGGAAATATTTCTATGGATGACATTGTTTTAAAACAGCTTTATACTAAAGCTTTACCAATTAGTGTCGAAAAAAAAAAAGATTTAATAAACCTTTGTAATAAAAATGTGATACCAAGTATATATCACAATTTTTTTTTTAACTTGCCTAGTTTGTCTAATAAAAGAGCTGATAATATTATAGCTGAGGCAGATACTGACGATAAAGATGAAAATGAATAACCATACTGTATTGTTATAATAATATTACTATTATTATTTATAACTGTTTAAACTATTTTATATTATTATTAGTATTACACCTTGACCTTGTTAACTATTTTTAACATGTTTATAAAATGTTCAAAATTATTTTCATTACCTACTTTAATTTGTATTATTTTTATGGAAAGGTTCTTACAAATTGTTTAAATTAGCATTAATGAGTTTTACTAATAAATAATTTTAATTATGGTAAGAAAATAACTTATAACTACTTTAAACTTATGTATTATATAGTATAGTTCAGTACCCATCTAACAAAACAAAAATAAATAGTTTATAACAATTATTGAGCTAATGAGAAGATTAAGAATAAAAATGTAAGTTCAAAAAATCTTTAATGGCATTTCCCAACATTTTACTATTTGCCATTAAAACCCTTTATAGGGTAGAGGGAAATAATTTCCCATTAATGAAAAAAAATTGCATTTTGTTATATGTAGAACTGTAAAATACAATATGCATACGGAAAAATCTTTGATTTTTTCTGTATTTAGTCATAACTTTATATTGCACACAACGCCATCTGTTTTTAAGATATGGGTTTACAAGTAAACTTGTGGGAAATTATTTCCCAGTGCCCATTCGGTACACATCATATTTTCTACACTTCAGTTTATTTTTAATTTATCATAGTTTATCGAATGTTCTAGACGAAAACAAACAACTGATTATTTTGAATGATAATTTAGAATATGCGCATTTTTATAATGTTATCATTAAAATATTTGTTCATTATTATTTATTTTTTCACGGTTGACTAAAGATAATCAATTTTGCCGTTATTATTTAAGCATCGTTTTGATGTCAATATTAGTACCTACACTAAACATTGACTTAAAAAGTTTAAAGTAAGTATAATCTAATTCGTTATTATCTACAGATTAAGAATATGTATAACTTCAAATGAAAAAATGTGATCATAATGATTTAGAACCACCCGAACTATTAGGTATGTGTATGCCAGTTATAGATGACTTCAATTTAAGAGAGGAACATGAACCAGAAGTTGGAAATGCGAGACAGCAGTTAACTGAAGAATATTTTTCAGTTTTGATTTAACCCCATTGTTTCAGCTAAGAATGAAGATTATGACCAATACTCATAGGCACAAATAGAATGCCAATACTGATATGATTAAGATTATGTAAATATTGATGTATATTTCTAAATGTTTATTTAACAATAAATATATTTTGTAACTTATTTTAATTTGTTGTACATATTTGATCATTTATTAATCATTTGTTAATCATTTAACACATTTAAACATTTATAAAATAAAAATTAATAACTTTTAACAGTATTATTAAAACAAAAAACAATACAAACAAAATAAATATTTTTAACAAAGAATAAAGTTTGTTGTACATAAAACAATATAATATAACATACATTTCTAAAATAAAAAATAATAATAAACAAGCTGAGTGTAAAACATTTAACACAAGAACCTAGAAGTCATTTCCATTTAATTTCTGTTTTTTTATAGCAATATCAAGTTCTAATGACTGAAGCTCAAGTGCATGTTTTGTCTTTAGGAATGTCATATTTTCTACATGTTCTTCCTTTAACAAGGATATCTGAAGTTCAACCAATTCTTGTTTTTTTTTCAGCTAGTATAGTGAATTTTTCACTGGTTGATGTCTGACTATGCTTTTTTTTTTTAAAATTGGCTACAAATAAAAAAAATTATATTTACGCAGGTGGTGATAATATTTAAGTATTTATCTCTTACTGGCTAATTTTTTATGTTTTTCTGTTGTTCTTAACAGTTTTGTTGAATCTAAAGGAGTCCATATCTGAGTGTTTTCATAAGTACCAGAGGTACCAGGCTGATTGTTAATTGAACTGTTGTTCTTTGGCGTTTCATTTGTTGCATGAAATGTATCCTCAAAGCTCAATGCTTCTATAAAATAAATATAAAATATACAATAAATTGTTTCCTTCTAATTTTCCAATTAGATTGAAAACAGCCACTAGAGAAAGATAAATTATTACAGTGTTATAACCATGTTCAATACCAGGATTTGGATTATTTTTAATTATATAAATTCCTATGCTTTATAGAACAGTTTTTTTCGAGGGGTAAACACCTTGGGGGTAATCAGTGTACATAAGGTGATGGTAATCATAGGTAATCATGGGTATTCATGGGTAATCATAGGTAATATTTGTAGTAAATCATGGATAATCATCATAGGTATAATCATTGAAATCAGTAATCTGGTGTACAAACTTTCTGTCAGGTATTTACCCCTCGGTTTTTTTACTGGCAGAACATTTAATTCTTTATACAGATATTCTGTGTGATACAAATGATTTTTTTTTTAAATAATTTTTAAAATTCTGTTTTGTATTGTTTTTAATGGAGTGTAGTATCCTAAGCACCACCCCAAATAGTAATACCACAATTATTAATAAAGAAAAACGGCTTAAAATACTGACATAAGACCAGAACTTAATTTTTATTATAATTATTAGTATAGTAGGAACATACCTTTACAAATTAATATGGATTCATCTTCTTCATTAACCATGAACTCATGACCATGAAATATTATCTCCTGTTCAATTCCTTTTTTTTGTGTCAGTGGGCCTTGATTATGTTTAGTTGATTCTTCTAAACAACCAATGTTTTCAGGCACTGTTGCAAAAAAAAAAAAAAAAATCATTCAATAGTTATTAGCTACTACATTCATAATATTAATATATATTACGATCAATATAAGAAGTTTCTTATTTTTAGTAATGAACTAAAAATACACTTAAATATTTATTGTAAGAGGTGCTTAGACATAGAGTATTCTTTTTATTATTTATTTTTTTAGAGTACCTATTCAAATAATTTTTGAGCTCTATACAATACTTTAATCTTAACTTGATGATCGATATACACAAGACAAATTTAATGCTTCATCGTCAGAAAACGGAATGTGCAACGATGAACTACAGAAATCAGTTTTCTTACCTTAACTAAATTAACCTGGGTTAAATTATAAACCTATACAGAAATGCTATCTTACATGTTCAATTTGCTTTAATAATTATAATAATTAAAATATTCATTATATTTAAATATAACACTTTATCAGATAGCTATGAATTTAATTAAACACGATTAAGGTTATAGGTACAAAATAAGAATGGTTTAATTTATAAAAGATATTAAATGTTTATAGAAAATTACTTACCATCACTATCATATTGACTAGGTAGTCCTTCAATTGACAGTTGCAATATTTGGTACAACGCTTTCTCCGAATCACTGGACACTGTGTATGGATCTTTATAAGGACCACCCCCTGTTTTAAACAAATCGCTTTTAGTGCCACGTAACTGTTTTTTAACCGATTCATATTTCAAACGTAAACTGTTGGAATCTCTTGGCTATAACAAAAATAGTATAATATAAATAATCATATTTTATACAGAAAATTAAATTTGAAATTCTTACACAGCCTGTTGTTGTAGAATTATATGTTTCAGCAATGTTCAACCAACACTTATTTTTGTCCTTCCAGGATACTGCATTTGATTCTTTGTTCTCAAGTATGTGACGGTTTTCAAGTGCGATATTTAATAAAAGTTCTTTTTCGCGAAAATTAAAATTTGTTGCCCTAGCCCTTTTTTCAGTGTTCTTTACGTTCGACATATTAAAATAAACAATTTGCAACAGGGCGTAGGTAATTAACAAAAAATAATTATAACTTATCTTGAACACGAGCATCAAAGCATCAAAGTGTCAAACAGAAATAATTTAAAACATAAATATCAAGAAGTATCACATTATCACAATAATTGAATAATCAACGTTATCATTGACCAATCATAATGAAATAAGCCTGTGCAACTTGTTCCATAATGTATAATTGCTACATTGCTACTACATATTAGTATCAATTTCATGGAATTAATTTTGTTCGACGGATAGCTATCTGGAGAATAAGATTACATTGAAAAACGCTTATCACTTTATTCGGAAGATTATTCGACAAATAAGTTTATTCGATGAATAGTTATCTGACGAATAACTGGGTGATTGAAAAACCGGGCCTTATAAAAATAAATACTTGATAAATATTTAAAGAAATAAAATTTCTTTTCAGACAAAAAATTAAGATCACATACGATTCATCAAACAGAAATATTGAATGAATCTATGCCTTCGTTATCAAAAGACCCTAGTCCTTTAACTTTAGGTACATTTTTTGTGTTACTTCAATGAAAAATATAATATAATATTAGACCATATTTTATATTATTATAGTAAAACTAAACACATGATACCATTTGTTTATATAGGAAACAATACAAACCAATATAGGTATATATTTTTTCTTTTAGGTGAAAATACATCATTTGATTTTCTTGAAGGTTTTAGGCCAATAGCATCAACATCAATAGAGCCTACTCAAGTAATTGAAATTTCTAATTCACCAGGTAAACTTGCAATGTACTTTTTTTTAAATTTGTTTTGGTTATTGAATAAATCCCTTTTTTAGATCATGGTATTCAAAGTCCTTCTTTTTCTATATCTTCAAGAACAAGATCTTCCAGAATTACTAATACTTTAGTACCTGAAGTACCAGATGTATGTTCTTCATTAGGTAAACAAAATTTTATTAATTTTTTTTTTTTTGTATATTATCACTGATCAGTAGTTATAAATAAATTTTTGTTTTTAAGACCATAAAAATGAAATTGCTTGTGAAGAGTTTGATGAAGATTTTTTCTTAGAAGATACTAATAATACACAATATGGAGACAATGATTATGAGCCGTTATCTATTTTCAATGCCCATCAGGAGTCTGGAGATAGTGACGAAGATGAACTAAGTACTAAGGACTTGAACAACACTAACAACACTTATCCATTACAGTTTTCTAAAATTGGTAATCAACCTGATAAATATTTGAATTCTCGTTATAGAGCGAAAAAAGGTCCTGTCAATCCATATTTATATAAAAAAAGTCCTTTGGATGTTTGGGAACTAATATTTTTTCCATTAATTGATAAAATAGTTACAGAGTCAAATTTATATGCTTCCCAAAAAAATGTGCCTTTGGACACAACTCCAGAAGAAGTTAGAGCATATCTTGGTATTGTTATATTTATGGGTTACCATTCGTTACCCAGCATTCGGTTATATTGGTCTAATGATCCAAACTTCTTCTGTGAAAGAGTAGCAAAAGTTATGACAGTCAAACGGTTTTTGAAACTAACTAGGTTTTTACACCTAAATGATAACTTGCAAATGCCACCTCGAAATACTGAACATTTTGATAAACTATATAAGGGAAGACCTTTAATTAGCCATTTAAAACAAGTTTATTTGGATTTGTATACTCCGTCCAAACAATTAGCAATAGATGAAAGTATGGTAGCCTTTACAGGAAGATCAACCATGAAGCAATACATGCCATTGAAACCTATAAAAAGAGGGTTTAAAGTTTGGGGCATGGCAGATTCTTCTAATGGTACCTAATTAATTTTGATGTTTATACTGGGACAAAAAGTTCAAATCAAACTGAATTCGGCCTTGGAGAAAATGTAGTATTAGATCTGACCCAAAATTTAAAACACAAATCATGTTGTTTGTACTTTGACAATTTTTTCACTAGTATTCCACTGATAGATAAGCTTCATAAAAATGATTTATTTGCATGTGGTACATTTCGAGTAAATAAAAAAATGTATCCAAAAGATATTATGAAGAAGGATAAAGACTTCAAAATGGGTGATACAGATTTTGTTCAAAGTGGTGATGTGAGTATTTCAAGATGGAAAGATAGAGGTAAGAAACCAGTCACTGTTGTTAGCAATATGCATAATGCTTCTGCAACAGAAATTGTTCTAAGAACCAATTATAGAGGGCAAAGGACACCTATTTTATGTCCATCAAGTATAGCCGATTATAATCGTTATATGGGCGCAGTTGACCGCTTTGACCAGTATATGTCTGCTTAAAGTGTAAGCCAAAAATCAAGACGATGGTGGGTAAAATTGTTTTATTATATGTTAGATACTACAATAGTCAACTCTTTTTTGCTTTACAAAGAAGTTGTCATGTTATGAAAAAAACAATACCTGAGTCATTTAGCTTTTAGATCAAAACTAACTGATCAGCTAATATCAGATTTTTCATCTCGACAAAGACGACCTACCATTTCCCCTATGAGTAATAAACGTAAAGATTCTACTGGTTTCTGTTTCAAATGTCTGGAAACATTTGGCCATAAAAATAAATACATATCGCCGCTGTGTGTCATGCAGTAAGTCCAAAGAAAAGCGATCCAATATGGCTTGTGACACTTCTGATAAAGTTTTGTGTAAAGACTGTTTTGCTAAATATCATGAATAATTCTTGTTTGTATTTTATTATATATTTTTAATGTTTACAACCAAAAGTGAAATTGTGTGATATAGTTTGTAAGAAACAAACACAATATTTTATAAATTTGATTGTGTATTAATTTATATTTATGTTTCTAATATGACTTGTTAATTTTTTATTATTTAAAAATATTTTTATTAGAAGGAAAAACTTATTTTAAACTAAATTTATTGCTATAAAAATGCAAATTATGTTTTTTGTTAATTATTTTTTAATGATTACCTGTGTAGGTATAATTTTTTATATATTTTATAATGTTGTATATTTTTTATCATTACAATTTGATGTAGACAAGCTTGGTTTATAAACAACGAATGTACTTATTAATTTACTAAGTCTGCTCAATTTTTTTTTTAATATACGTAAAGTAGGTACTTACCTATAAGTAGAGTATTTTTTATTTAAATACTATGCAAATTTGTTAAAAACTTTTTTAAATGCAATGTTGATGTCATTCATATTCATATTTATGTTTCTTAAAAAATAAATAATTAATTTCTTATAGTAATTCGTACATAAAATTAGTTTCTTGAATATCAGAGTCGGTGGGAAATTATTTCCCTGTACCCGCATAGAAGTATTGTATGAGCAGAACGGTCATTGGGAAATAATTTCCCATAACTTCCCACCCCCAATTCAACCCCTGCAAATAAAAAAATGTTTTTTTTTTTTATTTATTTTAGTATCCTGTATCTATAGTTATGTTATCCTGAAAATTCCATCCATTTCTGTTCACAATTTAACTAATGCCCTATAAAGGGTTTTAATGAGTTTTCGCACCAAGCCGACGATATTATCTTATCTATCGACTATCTGTGTTATCTATGTTATAATGTCTTTGATAAAACCGCAGTTTTATAAAGTCATGTTCGCCTCACATACTTCGTATCACTGTCTTAGATTCGTATCATTCCTGTAGGGCGATTCTCTAAAGTTTTAGTCATACGATTTAGTCACTACCGTGACTAAAACTCATCATTCAGTCAAACATTTAGTCATGACGAACAATTAGCGATTCTCTATGAATCTATGACTAAAAATGATATTTTAGCCCGACTGAAAGTGGTGACTAAAAGTCACTAATCATTTGGCCCCTATTGGAGGGCGCCAATTGTGATTTAGTCGACTAAAATTGTAAATCATATGTTTATTTATTAATTATTTTCTCGTTTTGATTGTCATTGCATATTTGATACAGTTAACACTTTTCTTCGTTTGTTAAGCTTTAGTTTATTAATTTTTTTCCGTTTTGCGTTTAAATTGGTTATGGCATTATTAGGTCACATTTTAATTGCTGAGGAATATGTAAATCAAATGGCTCATCAACGATTTACTTTGCACAAAAGAATTTTGCGTGACAGTTATAATCCATTTGATTTGAGCGATTTTAATTTCAAAAAATTATATCGCTTACCTAAGAATGTGATTTTTGATATTATAGAAAATTTGCGGCCTGTCTTAACTAAAACTCGAAAAAATAGTTTAAGTGTAGAAATACAAGTAAGTATATATAACATATTACTATTTTTTAAACGTAAATACATTTTGACCAAAAACAATTGTATAGTAATACAACCAAGAGGTCGAGTCATCCTTTTAAGAAGACATCGATTAAACAACATTTTTGAGTGAACTTTATTAGCGGTTTTAATTACCAACCTACTAGGATATTCATTAGGTATATTTATATATAGGTAATATCCTACCTACATCAAAATTAAATAATTTAAATAATTTACAGTCACTATAACTTATTTACGAAATATTACGCAAAATCCCTACAAGGTTAAGTGTTAACTTTAAAAGGTTGACTTTTTCAGTTTTATAATGTGATTTTTGAATCTTAAACCAAAATTAAGTGAGTGTTCTGATACTTTACATAGGCACATTTTTAACATTGGAAAATACGTATTTGTGTGATGTCTTCTTAAAGGTAAATGACAAAATAGTAAAATATAATAAATATTAGTTAGGTATTTTATAATAAAGGTTCTAACTACAATTCAGTTTTTGGCTTCCGGCTCTTATCAACGAGGTATTGGGCACGACTGTTTAATTCCCATAAGTCAGCCCAGTGTAAGTCGTTGTATACAACGGGTCACTCAAAGTTTTTTAACGATGTATGCCGGTCGATGGATAAGTTTCCCCAAAACTCGAGCAGAAAGGTCAAATATTTCTGATCGGTAAGTAAAAAAATAATATAAGATACCTATATAGCTGTAGGTATAAGAAGAAACTGCAATTGTCTTATTTTGTCAACCTGATTAAAAAATAATTATAAGAAATATATTAATTATTTCTATTTATAAAAATAAAAATTCGGACGAGTAGAGTAGTTACCTAAGTTAATTAGCAACCTACCTTTTAGTATTTAAAGCTGATATGAGCAGGGCATACAGTGGAGTGTGTACTAACATTTTACAGGGTAGGTACTTCCACTGTGCCATTCCACTCCGCTAATCTTAACTTTAAATAATTAAAATATTAATTTTAGATTCTGAGGAAGCTAGTGGTTTTACAATAGTGTTTATTTTTATTTTTTTTCGATTTCCACATAATATAGTACCTTATCTTTTTACAAATTGGATCAATATGGTAGGTACTTTAGGGAGGTCATTATTCGATTTTCTCAATAGTTATTTAATGCCACGGGAAAATCTACTGACAAATTATGGAAAACCGCTTAAAATGGGATTTTAATTTCTAACCATATGTTTATCACCGTAGCTGTAGCAACAAATAACAATTTTTAATATTATAATATTTATTCAACTTAAAGGCTATAATAAATAATAAAAACCTACTGTACAGCAAAGCGACATCCACTTACCCGCTTTTTATATTTGATATTATTTATTACTGTATTCAACTGCATATTTATTTCTTCAAAATGCTTGTTTTGCATGCTTAAATTGATGGTACTTTCAATTAAAAACGCTCAAACTTAATTTGTAAGTTATGGTCAAAAAATCTGTTTTTTAAAATTGTAATGTTTAGTTAATTTCACGAGGTAGACGTGGTGTGGTAATTTCCTATCTTTGATTAAGCAATTTGAGTATTATTTTTACAGCATTTAATGCGGGCAATGGCCGCCAAGAGCGCTAAGAATGCCGATACTTTAAATAATTATGTCCCAAGCAGCAAAGAAATGTTTTAGAAATATATTTAAAACATAACAACATTGCTATTGTAATTAATTGCAATAATAATATTTTTTAAATGTTTAAAAACATTATTTTTGAAACATTTTTGTAGCAATGTTTTTATAACAACAATTAAATATAATTCGTGATACATTTCTGTAAGAGACATTTAAAAAACATTTATTTGTAAAATGTTTTAATAATATAGTTTTATAATCATTTTAATTATAATTATTTTAAAATAATATGACTACATTGACATAAGTAATGTTGTTCTATTAATTACTGCAGTAATGTAGACATGTAGTATACCTACATAATATAAATAGCAGGAGATATTATAATATTTACTAGGTAATATAATATACTAGTACCTATATTATATATATATATATAGGTACAATAGGTACTATACGAAAAACGGGACTTTCCCATTCTCAACGGTACGTTCGTATTACTCAGTACCCACGTATAATACCTTAGTATAATCGTGCTTTATATACCCAACAAATAATAATAGATTAATAAATCGGAAAAAGACACCCTTACAAATAAGCTCAAAAAAAGATATCTATTCAATATATTATAATAACCATCATACTCTGCGCTCAACTACATATGATACACCAATACTATCGTAACACATATAGGTAAGCGCCTATATAAAATAGTTAACCAAAATTGTGAATAAATAAACAAGCGGGAGCTCTGGACCTCCTATATAAATACCTATAAGTACCACCGATCCTTATAGGTATCCTACGATTTACCAACGCATATTATTTAATATTATATATATATATTATATTTAATATACATCTAGGACTAAATAAAATAAATTGCGTTCCTAACAAAATGCAGTATTGCACTGTGATAATAATAAATTAATTCTATATTCACTTTTCAGTTTTCACGAAAATTGTAATCATAAATAACAATATTATATACGTCATGTAGGCGTAATGGACAGTGATTACTGATTAGTAGAATTATTATAAGTGATACAGGTATACAACATTGTCATTCCTTTTTGTGGCCTGTACGGCTGTACGTAAAAAAACCGCCAGTCATCCACACTAAATAATATAGAATTATATGAATTGCAGGGCGCAGGAAATATTTTTCCGTAGACCGTTAGAATGCAGTATTGATTAATGAATTTATTATAATTTTAAGACGCGCCATTACCCGTTTTTATTTTTACCATAATGGCTTCAGGCTTGGCAATAACAGTTTATATTTTATAACAGTTGCAATATACATTGATACAAATTTGCCATCTCCAGCGCTTCGGAGTATACGACATACGTCTTTTATTGTGACGGTCTGTCCGATAACCCAATGTGCCACGATTGGCCTATCCGATTCTTATCGGTTTGAAAGTTTTCTATTTTGGTAATTGGTAGTGGTTATTGTTACATATTTTTTTCTTTTGTCTGTGACTGCCGACTGCCTGACAGACACTACACTAGTCATTATTTTGTTGTACGGTTCACTAAAATTTAATTTGTTAATTAACTATAGTACAGCTGTAGTTTGTATTTTCGTTATATTAGTGTCGTGTTCGTGTACCTGTAGACTCTGCGTTGAAAGTGTGTACAGATCTCAAGATACGCCACCCAAAACAGGTAATATACCTACATTAATAATAATTAATTAAAAGTTGATTTTGTTTTTAAAACGTGTTCATATATTTTAATACATTATATTATCTTATATTATGATGATATACAAGAGGTTGATTGAAAACTTGAATTTGAGTAGGTAATAAATCAGTGGGTTTATGAAATTCATACTCTTAAAGCCTGCTGCCTGCAGCGGTGGCGTTAAAATTCTATTGTCTTCTGGTGGTAAAATGTGTGGTTACATTTCAACGTACCACCACTGCAGTGGTCGAGGACCTTTATAGTACTGTATTGTAAAGCAATATAGTCTATAGATGCAATCAAAATGCCTTGGTACATATATATTATTACAAGTTTTAATATACCAAAACCAATTTGTTGATATTTGTCTCTTGGTAATGATACAGTGAGATACTCGTCTTTTAAATATAGGCATTTATAATAGTGTGCATAGAAGTGAGCATTTATCTGATCTTGCCATTTCAATGCGTATGTACCTATAGGCTATATTGTCTTATGTAGGTAGGTACTTTAAGTAGGTAATATGGCGACCTCGATGGAGACGGTTTGGACTAATATTTGACTATATATATACACTGTAGATTGTAGTAGGTATGGCCTGAGTGTGGGAATTTATTTCAATAATAGTATAATTTGGACTTATTGATAATAATTATTAACTCTATTTGATAATAAAATATCACGAGTGGATTGACCCACCAGGAATTATGTTTTTATTGTTATTGTTAGATATTGTGTTAAACGAGTAACAACTCATGAATAAGTTTTTTGATAGAGAAATAAGAAATACAAAAAAAAAGATTACTATCTTGAGCTCATTTTAATCTTTGGATGTATACTATACTATACAATATAATATATTAGGTACCTAATCACCTTTAATACCACATAATACCAAAACTATTATGGTGAATATTTTTTTTGTGTTATAATATATTGTTGCAATATAATAATATAGGATTACCATATTATCTAGTTCATGTGTTTTTGTTCAGAATGGATTATAAAAACCTACTCAATTATGAATAGCGCTTAAAAAAAGTATAAAATATTAATAAGTACTTCGGCCCTTTACGAATAGTTGTTGGCACAGAACTTGAGTTTAATATAATCAGTTACCCCAATAATAATACATACACATAAATGCTAATTTAATGAAAATTAATACCTATATATTTTATACCAATTTTAAAAAAGTAATTTACACAAATTTTAAATAGGTACCTACTGTTTCTTTTTGTCATCTACTATTATTAATTTTTACTAACTCACTTTCAGCCTTTTTTAAGGGCTTTAACAACTGAATTTAAATTATTTACAAATAGTACCTACCTAGGTATTTAAAAATAATTTTTTAATTGTAATACATTATTGTTTGTTAATGTAAACCTTAATATTTATTAACTACCTAACAATATCTCAATATATAATATCTATAAACCAAATGTTAGTATCTATAATAGTATATTATGAACACGTTTTATTAGGTATTTAAGATTAAATTTATAATTTGATTACAATTTTCCTACACAAAGATGTTTTCCAATGCGTCCCTGAACAATATATTATATCGATGGCGTAGCGCACAAGTGTGATAAGTGACATTTTTTTGAAAAATGAGTTAAGTGCATAATCAATTTAATCATACAATTCTGCACATTATGCCCAAACGTTGTAAGTGAATAGTTCATTATTTACTCCGATAGATGTCGTACAGTTCGTTACATTTTTGAATTTGTTATGACATCTCAAACATATAAATCGTTCTCCTGAACAATTACGAAAATGTCACTTATCACACTTGTGCGCTACGCCATCGATATAGTCACAATTATAATATAGGCTTGCATAATATATATGAGAAAAATTAAAAAAACTATATTCCATTGTTTTTTAACCCGTTTGATAGTCTTACAATGCCTCGAAGGGGATGTTCTAAATTTCATCAGCTCTCAGATCGAAGTAAAAGGAGGCGGGTGAATGAAGATGAAGGATGTTCTAATTGGCCCAGTAATTCAGATGATAATTTTTCTTCAAGGCTTTCTTATACAAAAAAATCTTTTAACACTTCTGAGATTAATACCGACCCAGCTAATGATATTAATACTTTGGATAGTTCACAGTATATTTTATATAATCAAGTATTTGAAGACAATGATCATCTCTCAAATGAAGAAGTTGAATTTAATGATAGCAATTATGAAAATAATTTTTTAGATTCTTCATCTAGTAAAACCACATTTGAAGAATATTCTTCTTTAGGTTTCCAAATGAATAATACATACACTTATTGTTCTGAATCAACCACAACACGGTCTTCGGGTATTGAAAACTTCTTACGAAATTGGGCTTTAAGACACAATATTACTTCAAGCGCTGTTTCTCATTTATTAGCTGGATTAAAAGAAAATGTTGATAGTTTGACTAATATTTTGCCGTCAGACGCTAGAACATTACTTAAAACTAATTTAACTCTAGAAAAACTTAATATTAACCCTGGAAAATATATACATTTTGGTTTAGAGACTCAATTGAAATTTTTACTTAAAAATGCTAATTTATTTGATATTCATGAACTCCATTTGCTTGTCAATATTGATGGGCTACCATTATTTAAAAGTTCCCCAGGTCAAGCAATACCAATTTTAGTAACAGTTGTAAATATACCTATTCTAAGAAAAATTGTATTCCCAGTTGGACTTTATTATGGCTATCAAAAACCAGATGACATGGATCTATTTTTGCATTCTTTTGTGACAGAAATAATAGAATTGTCAAATAGAGGATTATTAATTAATAATACAAATTTAAATGTTAAAATTATTGGATTTGTCTGCGATGCTCCAGCCAAAAAAGATATTTTAGGAATTAAAGGCCATGGAGGATATTTTTCATGTACTCGTTGTAAAGTCCGTGGCAGAACAATGTATAATAAGAGGGTTTTTACTGAATTAAACTGTGCAAAGAGAACTAATAATGAATTTATTAACTGGATCGATAAAAATTATCAATTGCGAAGTACAATACTTACTGAAATACCAGGATTAGAATTTGTTGATTCAATAATTTTAGATGTAATGCATCTGATTTTCCTAGGCATAATGCGTACCATGCTTTCTACATGGAACGATGGCGTGATTCCATTTAAGTTATCGCGGCAAATGATTCAACGAATTTCCAATTTTTTAGCCAGTTCAAGACTACCAGTAGAGTTTACAAGGCAACCACGAGAATTAAAATATCTTCTAAGATGGAAAGCTACAGAATTTAGATCATTTTTATTGTACCTTGGACCTATTGCTTTAAAAGGGAATTTAGATCAAGCAAAATACAACAATTTTTTAACTTTACATGTAGCCATGTCTATTTTATTAAATCCAAAAAGTATTAGAGATGAGGCATTAAGAAATTATGCAAGATCATTATTAATCCATTTCGTGCAAACATTTACCAATATTTACAATGAAAGTTTCATAACACATAATTTTCATGGTTTAATTCATTTGGTCGATGATGCAGACTATTTTTCAAGAATAATTACTGACAATCAGTTCAATTTAGAATATATTTCAGCATTTCAGTTTGAAAATTACCTTCAAAAAATAAAAACAATGGTTAGAGGCAAAAATAGACCTCTAGAACAAATTGGAAATCGTATGGCTGAATTATTTTTAATAACTAATTCTGAATGTTCATTACATTTGGCCAAAGATACACAATTCCCTATATGCTCGCAAAATCATTATAACGGTCCTCTTCCACCAAACTGTATCAGCCCACAATACAAGGTTATAGCTTATGAAAAGTTCAAAATTAAAATTGAATCGCCCAATGATATTTGTGGCAGTAAGACTGGTGATATAATAAAAGTTGAAAATATTTGTTTTTTTCAAGATCTTAATAACTACATAATAGTTGGTAGAAAGTTCTTAAGATGTAAAGATTTTTTTTTAATGCCTTGTACCAGCTCATCAATTGGAGTTTATGAAGTGGACAATAATTATATGTCAGACATTAACATATGGAAAGTTAATGAAATAATATTAAAATATGTATCATTTGAGTACAAGAAATCATTTGTTGTTTTTCCATTACTGCATACAACCTAAACTGTTAAAAACAATACGAGCAATACAATTATTTAGTTCTAAGAGCAGGGGAGGAGTTCTAAAATAGGTTAATATTATAATGAAAACATTTAACATTTTAAGAAACTAAGTTTATTTTTAAATAGCTTATAACTTCACACTTAACATTTTATAGAATGTGGACTTTAATTCATCTGTATGAAGAAAATGGCGACACCAGTCCCGATTTAATACCAAACGAATGGATGTTAAACGACTACAGTTGCTGGTACCCCAAAGATTTTAAATTATCCACTATAAAAGCATATGCTAAGAGAAAAGAAAATCCTTGCCAAGACCAATGGGAAACATGTAAAATTGAAGTGATAGAGAAAAACATTGGTATAATTTTTATTATCATTAATGTTTTATTAAAATTATATGTATATGTACAGAAAATTATATACCTAGTACTATGTATATAATAAACACTTATATTAAAACTAATATTTTAGATAATTATGAATATGGAATAAAACTCATCTATAAAGTCAATAAACATTTAAACAATAATAGTCTGGATCATAGTTTAAACCTCCATTCAGAAGTAGAAGAGAGAGGTCGTGGTCAAAGAACAAAGCAAAAAAAAAATAGACAAGAATCCAAACAAAATATGAGCATATTTGATATTGATGATGACCATTCAAACTCGGACGAAGTTGACAATCATGATACTGATGATTTTGGTGGTGAGACATCAGTTAAAAGATCAAATCTTGTTATGTACCCAGAATTTCCAAAGAAACAAAAAGGTAAATAACCATATTTTCATATTTTTTTATTCAATACCTAATATATTAACTAGATCATTTTATTTTTCTGATTTTTTTACACATACTTAGTCACTCACCGAAATGAAAAAGTGTATTCCAATAATGCGCCATCTGGATCAAGATATCAAGATAATACGTCCATTACTCCGTCTATTACTGACAGAACAGGTAATATATATATATATATATTATATAGTTATGTATAACATAACCTTAGAGAAAAAAATTAAATTCTAGTTTAGTTATGAATTATAATGCATGCATGCAAATAACATTTAATTTCTAGTACCAGCTGTGTCGATGGTAACTGATGTATTTTGTGAATGCAAACTTTCAAAAAAAGTTCCACATTCCTGCACCTTTGGTACACCAAATCAAACTAATGTTAGTCTTCTGGAAGCTATAGGACATCAACTTTGCAGATTATCAGGTATCCTAGCTATTGCATCTATTTTTTTTTTGTAATATTGCAAAGTATTAAACTTTAAATACACTTTTTTCCAGCTGATATTCTAAAAATAAAAAATCATACAAATTATATAAAGCAAGATTTAACATCATTTATTGATAATGATGAGAGCTCCAGAAATAACAACCAACGACCAGAAAAAGTACAATTTGAAAATAATATTTTATCATCATTCCCTTTGAATAACGAGAATGAACTTTTGTCTATAGAGAAAAACCTACTCTCTGAAGACTTAGGTTATACTAACAAGCTGGTAAAAATAATATGTTTCATATAATATGTATTAAATATTTTAAAAACAGTCATATAAAAAAATAATATGTTAATTATTAATTATTATAGGTTACAGCGTTCATATTTGCATCTGAAGGAAAAACTATCACAAAAGTAACAAACAGTATACTAAGAACAGTCATTTCTGATGATTTAGCCAAACAGTATAGCTGGAAAGGTCAGAAAAACAAAAATTCGTTTAAAGACTTAACCATCAGTAAGATCATAATAGGTTAGTACTTCATTGTTTTTAATTAAAAGTAATTACCATTTACCAACTGATTTAATTATAGGCAGGCTTTAAAACAAAATTCTCAATACTGATAATAACTGTTAAACTGTATGACCTGAATGACTGACATAGGTAGTGTTATTTATAAAAATTTTTCTTAAACATTTGTATTTAGTTAAGATTAATTCTCTTAATACAAATACGACTGAACAATAAATAAATAATATAGGTAAATAATACTACTCAAGTAGAATATATTAAATTTGCTAGAAGTAGGTATAAATAATAGAATCTATATATTATAATAGTACATACACTGTAAGAAAAACCTACTGAATATCATCAGCTTTGGAAGAGAATAAAATATAGACAGTTGTGCCTAACAGCTACAAAAAGGTTCCTTCTTAATACGAATAAGAAATTAGATAATATTACTTATTAAATTACTATACCTATTTAACCATTTAAAAAATACTTTTCTAAAATCAACCCCTTCCAATAATATAATAATACCCATGAATGATTATTATACATCAATATTTATTATAGATAATAATAATATATTAGTACTATAATTAAAATTTGTAAAATAAATTCAACATTAAGATAACTTTTAAATATAATATTCTCAAAGTTAAAAAAACTAATTTGAATGTACTAACTATTTATTTATTTATATGTTATTTAATATTGTAGACGCTGTGCTCAAGAAATTTCCAAACATGCAAGATTCCAAACAAGAAATAAAACGTAGCATAATGACATGGTTGGCTCAAGCACCTACCCGCATTATAAGGTTAAATTTAATTTATAATTTAAATGTTTTACATAGTTAGTATTTTATTTAAAATTAATTTGCGTTTATGAAAACATAAATGTTTAGCAATTGTATCCATTAACATTTATTTATTTGAGATTTATAATTAAAAAAAGCAAGTTTTTGTTTTTAATATCTGAATTTTAAAATTGTTTTAATAATTTAAATAAAAAAACAAAATGTACAATTTTATCTAATTTTCCAAAGTAGCTAGGAATCGATAAATTATTCACTTATATGGCCATACTATTATCAATTTTCATTGGGCAGCATACAAAAATAAAATAAATGTTATTAAAAATTAAAAAATACAATTTTAACATAATATAATATAAATTTATTTATGGATACCTATAGTCAGTGGCGCAACTACGGGGGTGCTAGGGGGTGCTTAAGCACCCCCAACTTTTATTTAAGCACCCCCAAATTCTTGTCTTTGTAATTTCAAGTATCTATAGTTTAAACGATAATTTAGGTAATTTTATATTTTAAGATTTTATTTTCCGTTATTTTTTCTTATCTTGCATAGATAACATAATTTATATTATTGTATATTTTTACTATCATTGTGAATAGTAGCCAGTAGGCAACGTAATATCGTCATGTTGAGATCACTGGATAAGTACTAACTTTCAACCATGGCTAAATATATAGGTATGATCGCAACTTTGTGATACGCAGGTGTCATGGCCGCCACTGGCAGTGATTTTTATCACTTCGATTTATCAGTTTAACCTATATATTTAGCCATGCTTTCAACAACCTGTGATAACTAATTATTTGTGGCTCGTCGTTACTCGTTATGATTTAAATTTAAAAGTTGTGAATTGTGATAATGTGATATTGTTTGTTGTAAATTTGAAATTGCAAGTGTTTGTTTATTCATAATGTTTAGTATTTTTAGTAATAGTAACAAAAAAAATACTATTCAAAGTAAGTCCGACCATTCAGACAGTGAAACGATTGATGATCCAGGTCCAAGCACGTCAAGTAGTTTGTGTGAAAATGTATGTACCAGTACCCCTCAAATTTTGAATTTAGGACTAGGAGATATAGAAAGTGGACCATACCGCCCAATTTTGGCTGTAAGTACTTAGTACTATCTTAGTTTTATTTTATATAGTTATTAATTATTATGATTGCTTCGAAAAATGTTATAACTTATAGGTACCTATTATTTTGTCTATTTATGAAACATACAATTTAAATAATTAACTTATTTTTTAGTATGCAATTAAAAACACTTATAGTTAACTGCTTAATGCTTTGCATATGCTTAAATGCTTTTAGGCTTATCCAAAAACAAAGTTTGGGAAGCAAAATAGATGTTTTAATAAACAATGGTTTGTTGAATGTGCATGGTTAGAATATAGCACTACATTAGATGCTGCTTTTTGTTATGTTTGCCGCATATTTGGTACGGGTGATGTTGAACCAGCATGGACTAAGACTGGACTTAGTAATTGGCAAAAAGTAAGTTTATATAATAAATAAATAATGATAATTATATAAATAGTAACTTAGGTATTTAAATTAATCATTAAACTTATACATTTTCAATACTATCCAGTTTGCTGATAAATTAAATAAGCACAAATTGTCCAAAATTCATTTAACAAATGTATCAAAGATGGAAGCTTTTAAATCCAGTAAAAAAACTGGAAGTGTTAAATCTCAAGTCATAAGTGCTCACAATGAAATAGTAATGAAAAATCGCAAATATATTTTAAATATTATCGAAATAGTTTTGTATCTTGCAAAACAAGGCGTTTCATTTCGTGGTCACCGTGAAGATTCTGATTCATGTAACCAAGGTACTAAATTTATACTACAATATAGTAACATATAAGTTATTAGTAATTATAACTTTATTTCAATACTTTAAAGGTAATTTTTTGGAACTTTGCAATGTTTTCTCTAAATGTGTATTGGACTTTAAAGAGTATTATGATAAAACAATTAATTTCACTAGTTGGAAAATACAAGAAAGTATTCTGAAAATTAGTGCAGATAATATAAGATTGACTATTATTAGAAAAATAACAACTACTGGATTTTTTGCAATTATGATTGATGAAGCGAGGTAGGTACATATTATAGTTAAATAAAAAAAATTTGTTTTTGTTTAATATTAGATTAATTTTTTATAGATCTCATAAGCAAGAACAACTCTCAATATGTGTTCGATTTGTTAATGGTTTAGACATAGAAGAAAGATTTTTAGAGTTTGTGGATGTTTCAGATGGGCAAGATGCAAACCACATTGTCTTGGCCCTTTTTAACTGTTTTGAAAAATTAAATTTTGACATGAAATCCTTAAAAATTGTAGCACAATCTTATGATGGAGCCAGTGTCATGTCGGGGTGCCTTAATGGAGTTCAAGCTAAAATAAAACAGTATTTTCCTTGTGCAATATAC